AGACCTCACGTTCACTCGTGTTTCCCGTGTTTCTCAATGAATCTGAACCGGAGCTCTAGATACCAATTGTTGGTGCAAAGGTAGAATAAATGATGAAAAGGAGAAATATTCTATTAAGAATGACGGCTACAAAACATGATAAAAGTTACAATAATTGTCACCCTATTTATAAGCTAAAACTAGGGTTACTAGAATAAGATAAAATACTAAAATACCCTCTAACAAACTTAGGGGCTAAGAAAGTAGTATAACTAAATAAATATGAATTATTATTAATATTCTAATAAAGGGCACAAGTTAACATTACCCTATAAATAAAAGAAACATTACTGCCATTAATGAAAACGGCAAGTTTTCCGCATAACTCACCTGTTTCAATTTTTTGCTTTTAAAAACTGAAAAACTAAAAAGAGTTTTTAAAAACACTTTTTGCAAAGGATTATATTCAAACACGTTTTTTAATATTTTAATTTTCAAAAACTAAAAAACAATTTTTAAGAAGCATTTCAAACAGGTCCTGTTTTTACAAGTCTACTTTCAGATGGTAGAATTAGTTATTGTTTTTTATCAAAATATTTATTACAAACTGTAGAAAAGTATGCAAGAATAACTATATTTATACAAATATAATTTACACAAAATTTTTAAAATGATCTGAACTGAATTGTGTGTAAATTATTGGAAATAGATTTGCTACCTTTGTCTCTATCTCTCTAACAATTTATTTTCTCACACTAAAATATTTTATTTTATAACCATTTTACATTAAAGTTATCAAGATACCAAAAGTGAAAGATAGCAAATCCAAACCATCTTGGTCAGGCAACCATCAAATCAAATCTATTTGTCTCTAATAGGTATAAATAGATGTATTATAATTTGACTTTAACAGCTCAAAAATAATCTGCAAATAGATTAAATGGTCATTGAGATTGGCACTATAAATGAGTATGTCATTAAAGAAAACTAAAACAAAGTTTTGTAAATGAGGGGGCAATAAATCATTCATAGCCGATTGAAAAGTGGAAGGGGCGTTAGTGAGCCCGAAGAGCATAACGAGAAAATCGTAATGCTCATCAAAAATCTAAAAAGTTGTCTTCTGTGTGTCTTCTGATGCAACTCGGATCTGGTGGTAACCTGAGCGTAAGTCTAACTTGGTGAAAATTTTGGCAGAGTCCAATTCATCTAGGAGTTCATCTATGGTAGGGATTGCGAAACGATCTTTAATAATAACAACATTGAGAGCACGATAGTCCACACAGAAACGCCAAGTTCCATCTTTTTTTTACAAGTAATACAGGCGAGGAAAATGGATTGTGACTAAGAATTATGACACTTTGTTTTAACATATCTTGGATAATTGAGGTCATTGCTTGTGGGTAACGGTATGGTTTGACATTGATAGGTGGTGTGTTGGGTTCATGTGATGGTCATGTGGGCGTTTAGGTGAAAGGCCTGAGTGTTGTTGGAATATTGCAGGGTAGTTATGGATCAAGTTATGAATATTTGGGTGCAGGTCCGGTGGTAGGGATTCAAAAATGAATTTTGTGGTAGAGCCAAAAGTTAGGGAGGAATCAATTGGTTGAAAGGTCATTAAATGGAATAAGGAGATAGAGTTAGTGTGAATAAGATGGCGAAGTTGGTGGAAGATAGTATAGATGGGGTGAGATGGAAGGTCTCCCTTTAAAGTAATGGATGTGTCTTGATGGGTAAAAGTGAAGGAGGGGATAGAGAAATCTGCCTGAATTGGGCCCAAGGTGTGTAACCACGTCATACCTAAAACCACATTAACGCCTTCTATTGGCAATAAGTAAAACGGAAGTTAGAAGGGTTTGTTTTGTAGAACAATTTAAACATTATTGCAGATTCCTTCGCATTGTAAATGTAATCCATTTCCCACAATTACTAAAATTTGAGGAATATGAGTTGTCTTGAGGTTGAGACGGTAAGCAATTTATGGTTGGAGAATATTATGAGTGTTGCCTGTATCAACGAGTACCATGACTGATAAGCCACCAATTAAACTTTTAAACTTGAGTGTTTAAGGAGAAAATTGATCAGTCAAGGCTTGAGTGGATAACTGAAAGTAAGTATCACTCTTGTCTTGCTCATCTAGTTCGTGGTCAATGTTGTCTTGAATTAGATTCTGCTCTTCAAAAACTTCATCTTCAGAAGAAGAAATTTATTTGCGGAACATTTGTGTTCACTAATATATTTTTCATCACAATTAAAACATAACCCTTGAGCCATATGTTCTTGTAGTTGGGCTTGAGAAAGACGTCGAATGGGAAGTTTGGTAGGGATAGTGGATGGATGATGTTTTAAAGGGTTTGTACCTTGTGGATTATGAGCATTGGGAAGTTTTGAGGATAAGGGGTCAGGGATATTGGTGTTAAGTTTTGGTTATTGGCTAGTGAAAGGTTTGGAGAATCTGGGCTTTGAATCCTTGATTTTGGATTCAATGAGTTTGGCAAACCCAATAGCTTGGAAAATTGAAGTAGGTTTATGAATAGCCATCTCATTTTGAATCTCGAGTGTCAGGCCCGAAATAAAACAATTCATAATTGCATCAGGAGGCAAGCCAACAACTTGATTGCCTAATTTTTCAAACTTAGTTTGATATTCCACAACAGAATCATCTTGTTTCAATTAGAATAGCTGAGCTTGATGATTTTCATAAGAAGAAGGGGCAAAACGTAATTCCAAAGCTTTAGTGAAAGAAACTCAATCCGTTAATAATAAATTCGGATGCATCCATTTATACCAACCCAAAGCATCATCTTTCATGTAAAATGAAATTAATGATAGTCTATTTTCGGGGGGGGGGGGGGGGGGGGGGGGGGGGGCGATTATAAAAATTGAAAAATTGTTCAGTTTGGAACAACCATTCTAATGAGTTTGAACCGTCAAACATAGCAAGCTCAAGTGTACAGAATGGTGGTAATGGGGGCCATGGGAAATTTGAGGGTAAGGGTTTTGCTGAAATGGGAATATTATATTAGGGTGTGTGGAAAAGTTGTTTGGGATGGTATATATGGTGTGAAATGAGGTGATGGTTGGGCAGATGTGTTTCTCATTGTGGTTGTTACAATGGTTAGTAGGGGTGTGTTAGAAAAAGTTGTTGATTGTCTTAAGGGTGTATTGGTATGGAAAGTAATATGAATAATAGAGGTGGAAACCATAGATGTAAATGAAAGGTGTTGGGTAATACCTGAAGAACTTGTTGCTGAATGAACAGCAGCAGGTTGTTGCTGCTCCTTTAGAGTAAGGAGTTTGTGGAGGGTGGACATGATGGATTCATACTAGAATCAGATATCTGTTTGTCATTATCCATTATGGTGATTTGTCCAATATGTTATTCTAGATCTGCATTAAGGTTGTCATACCTTTTATGTATCTGTTGTTAAATTTGGGTCATACCAGTGTCAAGGTGAATGTGAGAAGTTTAGACAGCTTCTTTTACAATTTTTCTTGAAGGATTAGGGAGTTTGAGAGGAATCATAAGAACAAAAGATGAAAACACCTAATGTTAGGATTACACTAAGATTACAAGTTAAATCTAAAATTATATAAGATAAGACACAAAAGAAATAATTTTTCAGATTTTTCATTACCAGTAACCTACAATATATAGTTAGAATTTAGGAAATAATTGGGATCATGGCCCAAACCAACAAAGACATAAAAATAATAAACTTAGAAACTATTGCTAATGAAACCTCATACTAATAATAAAAGTCTCTTAGTAAAAGTGATTCATTTTTCTCTCTAATGGCCTCTTCCTAACAAAATATTTATCACTTCCTACTTAATGTGATTTTATATTTTGTTTATTTTTCTGAAAACAATTTATTAAATATCATATGAAAATCGGTTCAAAATCTTAAATACTAAACAGTACATCTATCCTTAAATATAAAATGTATTTGAGTAAGTTGTTGAAATTAATAAAGCTTGTTAGATGTAGAAATGGGATTCGTTGGTTGATTTGTGGTCAATGTAAATAATGTGTGATATAGAAAATATGCATCGTCTGTATTTAAAAATTCATAGCACAAGGACTAGGAAGCATGTGGAATAATATGTCTAAAAATGATTATTTTGCGACTAGACAATTTAAAACACTTATATCCTTTATGGTTATAGAAATATTATAAAAAGACTCATGGTGTTGACCTTGACTGAAGTTTACTTTTAATAGTGGAAGAAATTAATGGAAAATAGAGACATCCAAAAACTTTAAGATCAAAATATGCGTTTATTTTTAATAGTGGAAGAAATTATTAATAGTGAAAGGAATTAATGGAAAATAGAGACATCTAAAACTTTAAGATGAAAATATGCGTTTATTTTTAGTAGTGGAAGAAATTAGTGGAAAATAGAGACATCCAAAAACGTAGTTGGTATTTGAAGTTTTTTTTAATAAGCAAAAGGAGGATTCATTAAAAAGCACAAATGCTTAACCAAAAAATACACACAATAAAAAAACAAAAGATCTAACTTCGTATTTAAAAAACATTTAATAAATAATAACCATTTGAAAAGCATGATGCCAAAAAAAATGTGGTAGGAGACATGTGCAAAAAGTGTCCTATGATTGTTTATATTCTAATAGGAATAGTGTAATAAATAAAAAAATAAATAATCAGATTCTCTGCAAATCCTAATTCAACCTTAAATTGTGCGAATGAATTTTTAATAATAAATAAAAAATTGCATTGGATACTACCTTAGTCACGGAATCACCAAATCCCATATATGCCTCTAATCATGTAAGAGTTACGTAAATAAAAAAACTATATAATGAACATCTTCTCAATTATTGGACATTAACAATGGCCCACAAGCCACGAGACGATATAGAAACACATGTTTAAATTGAAAATAATTCATAACAAGTGGCATCATCAAATATTCAAATCCAAACAAAATAGACAAATGAAAATCCCAATTTCCCCTTAGATAGACCAATCATACACCAGCAAAGTGCTATTCTTCCACTAGTTCCCATTTTCAATTTGCACTGCTTGCTGCAATTTTCCACCAAAAAATAAGTTAACAGTAAAGCTTAAAGTAAAGTATATTCTTTGGATTGTAAAACAACAAATCATATACAATTTGAATTCATCATTCAATGAATTTGTTATCGAACCTGAAAGCATGACAGAGTGTACTGCACATCACTCGCTGAAATTTGGTGGTGGAGAACAACTCTCAACCTGTATTATGTAATATACAGTAATGAGGTCTCTTTCTTTGTAAGAATTTTGTCCATACATTAAAATGTTCGGAACATATCTCATCTTTTTTATACACTAGTCACTGTTATAAATAAATTTGCTTATAATAATGATAAGAGGGTATATTATAGTATAAGTAGGTATGAAACATGGCCAAATTAACTAAAAAAAAGGAGAATATTTTGAAGCTTAAGAAGACCTTGATGGTTTGTCATGCATCACATGGATACCGCGTTCTTCCAAGTACTTGAATATCTTTTCAGTTGTAGTCCTTGAACCATCCGCAATGTGGATAAATATCTAGTATCACGGAAAGAAAGAACTTAATGTTAGGATAATGATATATAAGAATTTTCATATACTCTCGGTTTTTTAACAAGCGGACTATGAAATCCTGACAAGGACACTGAAACTAGATATGATGTGAATATCACTGGACACGTCTTTGTTCTAAGGTGTTGCTGCTATAGAAGTTAGTTATACATGATTTTGTTGGCACCTATCACTATTGGCCTAGTATATTGGGACATAAACTAAGCAATAACATCTTGGAAAATTTGATCAAAAGACAAACAAGTTACAATATACTTACTATATTGGTCTCCACAGAACCGGGATTAATTCTGATCCCTTTAATTTCATTCAATCCATCTGAAATAGGGGAACAAACTATAAGAATCAGAAAAGTAAGATTGAACAGAAAAAAAAGAAAAAAGGATTTTGATTCCTTAAAAACGGATAGTTTCTCGTGCAGACTTACCGGCCAAAACTCTAGTTTTCTTGTGATCACTTTCCAGTTTTCCGATATTTTCCTTTAAGGCAACAAGTGCAGCAGCACAAAGGATGCCAATCTGTCTCATTCCACCACCTAAGGTTTTCCGGAGTCGCTTAGCCTGAAATGCAATATAGAAGCTAGACTTAAATATCATTCGCCGAGGGAGATTTTACGTGCTAACCAAAATTTTGACCTACCTTAGCAATGAATTCCTTGGAACCAACTATAACAGATCCAACTGGAGCGCCTATGCCTTTAGAGAGGCAAACCTAATGAATATTGTCAAAACGAATCATATGTCTGTTAGCATGAATGAATCAATATTGAATCACAGTCAAAAAGGAAAAGAAAGGAATAACATACTGAAACCGAATCAGCTGCTTCGACAAGCCTATCCATAGGAACACCTAGCGCCTGAAAAAATGATGTGTTCGAAGTTGATTTCAGCTTATGCACGAAACCATAGTTTAGGAGACACAGAAAATGCAAGTTCATTTCATCTTATTGTTCTATCAGTATATACAAATGAGCAAAATATATATCACTAGTATAGCATCAACGAAAAATCAAGTGATTCAGTTCAACATAAAACTTTTGGTGAAATCGGTAAAACGCAAATTTACTTACAACTGATGCATTAAAAAGTCGGGCTCCATCAATGTGAAGCATCACTCCATGCTTCTTAGCAACCTCTCCAACTCTATCAGTATATTCAACAGTGAGACATCTTCCACCCGAGCTGCATCGAGAAATTTTATCAGCCATAATTCATCAAAAAAAATCATGCACAACTTAGAAAACAGAACAACAAAAATCGCTCACTTTGCGTGACTGTTTTCCAAGCAAATAAGCCTAGTGCTCGGAAACAATAGCTCCCCCCTCGGATCTCTAATAGAAGACTCAATCAAATCAATGTCGATTGTTCCATCATCGTTATTTTTAAGCTGTCTCGAATGCACTCCTCCAATGGTCGAAATACCACCATTCTCGTAAATATTGATATGACAAGTGTCTCCGAGAATAACTTCACTTCCCCTAACCTCACAATGAACAAGTACAGCGATAAGGTTACCCATAGTCCCTGATGGAACAAAAAGAGCTGCCTCCTTTCCCATTAACTTCGCCATCTCGATCTCTAACAGTAAAGCCGTTGGATCATAGCCAAGAACATCGTCATCAACTTCCGCACTTGCCATAGCAGCCCTCATTGACTCAGTTGGCTTCGTCACTGTGTCCGATCGAAGATCCACTTTTCTAGTTACCATTGTCTCTACCACTACAACAAACAATAAGTAAAAATCAATTACCGTTACAATTCACACCTTCAGAACACCATTGACTGTTCAATCAAGATCAAACCGTCCAAATTTTGAACGTTTGATCATGATTGAACCGAACAGCCAACGATGTCCCCTACAAAATGAATCATAAAAAATAAATAAAGACTAACATTGCTCTGCCATCACTAATTGAGAAATCTTTGAAAATTCATATAAAAATAAAAACAAGATAACAAAACAGAACCAGTAACTTTCCCAATGTATCAGAATCTCCGATTAGTTATATATAGGTATACGCACAGTATTAATCTCTGAAATCCATGTAAAAGAAAATTATAAAAATAAAAAACTGGAAATCAGAAAAATACAGTTATTGATTTGAACAATTCATCGGAAAAAAATAAATATAAACAAACCTTTCACTGTTTCATGTAAACTGGGAGGAGCCATTTCTACAAAAATGAAGGAAGAAAAAAAAAATTAAAACGAAAAATGAAGCGAAGTGCAATTATTGCGTGGTTTAGTTTGGGTATTTAAAGAAAGTGCGATGAATGGCATTGACACGTGTCATAGCTACGATTCTGACACAAAATAAAGCGACAAGTCACAAAAATTGGGAGGAACATGACATGACGCATGCACGACAACACGTGAACTAGTGCTCTGAGATCAAGGTATTTTTGCCTTGTCCTTAGTCTTGTTCTGTTTCACGAAATTTCGTAATGTTGGAGTGTTATAAGAAATAAAAACAGAAGCCGAGTCGATTAGCCGAGCCAAAATACAAGATAAAAACAAACAAGAGCGGAAAGGAATATCATGATGAAGAATGATGATGAGTAATGAAACGGAGAGGGAGTGAAATTACCAGATGATCCGAGGAAATTGATAGGAGATTTAGGGTGTTTCTGTAATAATCTGTATGTAGTTCAGAGCTTAACTCAAACGCTTCTGAAGAATGAATCGTAGGATAATGGTGTTTCTGTCTCCTTATATAATGGTAGGTAGTTTATTTATTATTATTATATTTAGTTTATATATATATATATATATATATATATATATATATATATATATATATATATATATATATATATATATATATATATATATATATATATATATATATATATATATATATATATATATATATATATAAATTATTTAATATATTTAAAATAAATAAATTATTTCTTAAAAATAATATCCGAGGTATATTATTATAAAAAAAAATGTTATTTTTATATCCTTTTCTACACCTAATATTTATAGATATAGTATCTTTTTATTAAAATAATATATTTTTTTAAAATATTAATTTTTCTAAAAAAATATTTATTTTTAAAATTTATTTTATAACACAAATATAAGATTTCGCATTAACCAACTTCACAGTTGTATTAACCACAAAAATTTACATTATTAACCAATTATTTTACTTATAATTTATTAACCACTTTCACTACTTCATTAACCAATAAAATACACACTATTAATCATGTTCTAAAAAATTTGTTCAAGTATTTGTGAACAGTAAATTTGGTGTAGGATGCAGAAAAGGGTGTCAACATAACAATCCTGTATTATAAATTATAAAAATTTTAAAAGATATATACTAAAAATTTAAGAAATTTGAAATATGAAATACTATTTTTAAGAAAAACATAAATATATAATTAATGAGTTGCTTTTTATAAAATTTGGTTTAAACTATTTATTTTTATGACAAAAATGTTAAAATCGATTCCAAAATATCTATTTCTATAATTTTGGTAAATGAATTTTTCCATCAAATTATTTTAATTAATTTAATAATGTAATATCTATTTCTATCAGTTTGGGACGATGTGCTTGTACCCGAGCACGCTTCCATGGTCGGGGCGTATCCTATTGTCATTGAATAGGGTACGCCAACTTTCAAGCTTAGTTGTAATACTGTTTCAATTTTTCTGCATTCCATGGTTGAACAAGTTCTTCCCTATGTAGGTTTTCGAGGTAATAGGCCCCGTGTTCCGTTTTTGCTCAGACGCGGTAGGAGACTTCCCAGTTTGCGACGAGCTTACCACCACGAGGGTCTTTGTGATTTCTTTGCAAGACCAGACTACATATTTGGAATTACCATGCAAATCAAGGATATCCTTTGTTTGAACAAGGTTTCTCGGAGAGCTGCTCTTGATCGAATCTCTTCGACCATGTCGAGTTCTTCTCTTAATGACTCGTCGTTCATCTCCTTTTCTAGGGGAGATTTAGTTCTCCTGGAGGGTTCTAGGATTTCCACGGGGATGACTGCCTTGGCCCTGTAGGTTAATCGGAACGGGGTATCCCCGGTGGTCGAGTGTGGTGTAGTTCTGTAGGTCCAGAGCACGTTGTGCAGCTCCTCGACCCATTTTTCCTTGGCCCCGCCCAGACGCCGCTTTAGGCCTTGCAAGATCACTCTGTTCGCAGCTTCAGCTTGCCCATTTGTCTGGGGATGGATGACCGAAGTATAGTGGTGTTTTGTACCTCGATTTGCAACGATGTGCTCGAAGATTTTGTCTATGAATTGTGTCTCGTTGTCGGTGAAAATTGCTTGTGGCACGCCGAACCAGACGAGTATGTTTCGCTTTTAGAAACGAAGTGTATTGTGCGCAGTGATTTTGGCGAGGGTTTTAGCCTTTATCCACTTTATGAAGTAGTCAACACCACTTGTTCTGGTATAACTTTATAGTAAACGGTCAGGGGATGTCCATTCCCTACCGGGTGAAAGGCCACAAGGACGAGAGTGTTTTTAGCTTGTTGGGCGGGGCCAAGTGCATGTCCCTATGACGTTGGCACTTGTCGCACTTTTTGATGTGCTTCTTCGCATTATGTTGCATAATGGGCCAATAGTATCCTGCTCGTAGGGCCTTCTGGGGGAGGGATCGTCCTCTGAGGTGCTGGGAATTGATTCCTTCATGGATATCTTGAAGTATGTGGGTGACCTTGGACTCCTCGACGCGCTTGAGGAGAGGGATGGAGAATCCCCATCTGTATAACTTGTTTTCGATTAAGACGTAGGAGCAATCTCTGTGCCTGATTATGTTGGCCTCTTTCGGGTCGGGGGCAGTCCCCTCATGGTGAGATATTGGTACACCGGGGTCATCCAGCAGTCATTGTCATCGATGGAGTTTACGTCAATGGTCGCGGTGGTCTTCTCGATGCTTGGTCGAGAAATTATCTCCTGGATAGCAGACTTGTTTCCACCCTTTTTCTTTGTGCTCGCGAGCTTCGACAGGATGTCTGTCCGGGTGTTGTGTTCGTAGGGAACATGCTTTACCTTGTCGTGGTCGAATTTCATCATTCTCACGAACCAGGGCTAAGTATTCTGAGAGACTATCGTTCTTAGCTTGATACTCTCCCCGTACTTGAGAAGCAACAAGTTGGGAATCATTGAAGATCTTCACTTCTTTTGCTCCCAAATCTCCGGCCAAGCATAGTCCTACGAGGAAAGCCTCGTACTCTGCCTGGTTATTCGAAGTTAGGAAGGATATAGCTAAAGAAACCTTGATCAGGATTCCTTCCTCGTTTTCGAGGATGATGCCCGCTCCGCTTCCTTACGAGCTGGACGCCCCGTCCACAAAGATGATTCATTTATGTGCCTTGTCTATCGATGAGGCAGGCGCAACCATCTACGCTACGAAGTCGGATAGTACTTGTGCTTTAAGAGCTTTCCTTCTTTCATACTAGATGTCAAACTCAGAATGCTCTAGCGACCATTTGAGCATTCTGCCTGTCATGTCGAGACGACCGAAAAAATGATTTACGGGCTAGTCAGTTTGCACCACTATTGTGTGAGCCAAGAAATAGTGTCTCAGTCTTCTCGCCGCATTGATGAGAGGAATAGTGAGCTTCTTGATTTGATGGTACCTGAGCTCGGGGCCTTGTAGGACCTCACTAGTGAAATTGATAGATTTTTCCCCTCATGGATTTCACGAATAAGGGTCATGTTGATGGCCTTGGTTGTGACAGCGAGGTAAAGGAAGAGTGTCTCCCCGTTCTCTGGTCGCAATAGGACTGAAGGTCGCGGAAGAAATTGTTTGATATGGATGAGGGTTTGTTCGCACTCCTCGGTTCATTCGAACGTTGCTTCCTTGTGCAACAGTTTGAAAAATGGAAGTGCGTGTTGGGAAGATTTTGCTACGAAGCGGGACAGCGAAATAAGCATCCCGTTTATCGATTGAATCAATTTCTTTGAGTTCGGTGTTGGAAATTCTGAGAAAGCCATGCACTTGTCAGGGTTCGCTTCAATTCCTTGTTCTATCAGATAGAATTCGTGGAACTTGCCCGCTCGGACACCGAAGGTGCACTTCTCTGGGTTGAACATCATTCTGCATCTCTTTGCTATGTCGAAGACCTTTTTAGGTGGAGGGTGTGGTCGGTTTCCTCTTGGGATTTCACGATCATATCGTCCATGTAAACCTCGAGCATGTCCTCGATCTCACCTTGGAAGACTTTGTTTATCATTTGCTGGTAAGTGGCACCGGCGTTTTTCAGGCCTAAGGGCATTACGTTGTAATAATAGTTTCCCGACTCGGTCATGAAAGTCGTGTATTTCTTGTCTGTTTTCTCCATATGGATTTGGTTGTACCCCTAGTATGCGTCCATGAACGAAAATAGTTTGAAACCTGCAGAGTTGTCAACCAATTTTTCAATGTTCGACAAAGGATAAGCGTCTTAGGGGGAAAGCCCTATTAAGATCAGTATAGTCAACATACATTCGCCACTTTCAATTAGATCTTTTAACGAGTACAACATTAGAGAGTCAGGTTGTGTACTGGGATTTGGAAATAAAATTTGCCTCTAGGAGGTCTTTTATAGCTAATTCGGTAGCCTCTGCTTTTTTGGGAAACTGTATGCGCTTCTGTTGAACTATCTCCTTAGCATCCGAACTTTGGTCAGTTGGTGGCAGGCGACATCAGGGTCTAGTACAGGCATCTCCGCAACGCTCCAGGAAAACAAATCAACATTTTCCCTCAAACAAACCTTCAATTGTTTCCTCGCAAGGTCGAGGAGATCAACATCAATCTTCACGCCTTTGTTTGGGTCGCTACCGATGAGGATGACTTCGAACTTGCCATCAGGAATGGGGTTCCTGGGATGAGCATGCTCCTTGTTGACCTCTGTTGTCTGGGAGGCTTCTGCTACTGGTCGGGGTTCTTTCTTCTTCTGCTCCTTCAAGTCATCTTTTGTGAAGTGACTTTCCAAGTCGACGTGAGGTATTCGCTTCGGCTCCTCGGAGGTATTGGGTCGAGCTGGCTTGCCTGGAGTTTTGGACGATGCGTTGATAGTGTTTTGTGGCTTCGAAGATGCTTCAAAGCATCTCCTCGCAGCCTCAATGTCTCCGTGGAGTGTGGCGATGGGGCCTTTAGCCGTGTAAAACTTCATCTTTAAATGGACAGTGTACGGTACATCGATCAGTTTGGCTAGAGCTGGTA